CGTCACGACGCCCTGTTAGCCCTTGTGGACCCGCTCCCGGGAGGCAAGGACGCCCGGGAAGCCACCGCCTTTCCTGGCAACGGAGGGGCGGGGCTGCCGGTCTCTGGACAGGGGTCCCCTAGGCCGGAGCGGGGCTGAAGTGGGGAGTGTCCCCCGCCCCAGGTCACCCAGCTCCTCAGCCCCTTGAAGCACGGTCCCCTCCTGCCTCCCCCAGCTCTGTGCACCGGGTGGGAGGGTACAAGAGGGCAGTGGTGACCCCACCCCTGCTGGACTGTCCCCGCCCCTCCTGGGAGCCACCCAGGCCCGGGGAGGGGCAGATCGGTGAGGTGCTTCCCGTCAGCTCCGCCCAGGTGTGGCCGGGAAGCAGCCAGCCTGGTGCCCACCCCCAGCTGGCACCGCGGCTTTCGCCCTGAGCCCCACAGGAGCCCTGTAATACAGAGCAGCCTCAGGGCCCCCACCAAGGGGGGCAGCTCCGGCCACAAGTGGCTGCAGCCCAGACCTTTCTCGGATATGTACCAGCAGGACTGGCCAGTCCTGGGCGGAACCCAGCGGCACCCGGGCTGGTAGGCGGGGCTGGGGGTGGGGCAGCAGGCAGGACTCCACAGGAGTGTCATGACTTGTCCCAGGCGTCCTCCAGCAATGGAGCTGCAGGCACTGTGCTGGGGAGGGGGTGCCCTCTGAGGGCTGAATGAGGACCAGGGAGGGAGGCAGGGTCTCACACAGGTCAGACCTGGGGGAAGGTGCCTGGTCACAGCAGGAGGGCCAGGCCGGCCTCTAGGGCCTCTCTTTCCTGGACAGCTGCGGGCCGCATTTTTGCTCCCACAGAGACAGCTCAGCTGGAACAGCGAGGAGGCAGAGGGAGAGTGGAGGGCTGGGTGCCTCCTCGGCCCCAGGGAGGAGTGAAGGGCCTGCCTTCTTCCTGGCCCACAGCTTGAACGGGACATGGCACTTGATGGGCGAGTGAACACAGGCCCAGAGACGGGAGAGGGCAGCAGGGTGAGGTCACAGCCACAGGAAGGCTGTGCAGAGGCCAAGCAGGGGGTGAGGTCATGGCCCCCGGGACCACCAAGTGGGACACCACTGAGGCCGGGCCGGCAGCGCTGCTCACTGAATGCCCCGCCCACAGGGCCCAGACCAGACAGGAGCCAGACAGGGAAGTGCAGTCTTTAATGGGGGCAGGGCCAACCGGGTGGGGCTGGGGCTGGGGCTCAGATCTTGTTGAAAGCAGCAATGTCCACACTCTGCACCTGGAGAAAGGAGGGCGGTGGTCACGTGAGGCCCAGTTTCCCAAAGGCCGCCCTGCCGGGCCCTGGACCTGCCCCCCGCGCGGGCCTGCCCACTCACGTGCTCCTCGAACTTGGTGATCTCCTCCTCCAGCAGGTCGGTGCCCACCTTGTCGTCCTCCACCACGCACTGGATCTGCAGCTTGCGGATGCCGTAGCCCACGGGCACCAGCTTGGAGCCCCCCCAGGTCAGCCCATCCAGCTGGACGGAGCGCACGCATGCCTCCAGCTGGGCCATGTCTGTCTCGTCATCCCACTGGGGAACGAAGGGAGGAGGGGCTGGGTCAGGGGCCCACAGACTCCCGGGAGGCCCGCCCAGCAGCGCAGTTTACTCCTGTCCTGCCCCCACATTTCTCTCTTAGCCCGAGATTCCTGACCCGGGCAGGGGAGGTCCGAGGCGGGCACTCACGGGCTTCACGTCCAGGAGGATGGAGGACTTGGCCACCAGCGCCGGCTTCTTGGCCTTCTTCTCTGCGTACTGCCGCAGCCGCTCCTCCCGCAGCCGGACGGCCTCCTTGTCGTCCTCCTCGTCACTGCCGAACAGGTCGATGTCATCGTCCTCGTCGTCCTCCGCAGCCGCCGCCTTCCTGGTGGGCGGCTCTGCTTGGCGCATGGGCGACACGTGCTGCCAGAGGGGAGGGGGCTGAGACGCAGGCCCCTGGCTGGCAGGCCTCTCACCCTCACTACCCCTGGGCCGGCCTCGGCTCCTTTGTAGCAGCGCCAGGTGTGGGGGCTCTGGTCTGCGGGGCGGCCTCACCTGGGTCTGCGGGGCTGTGGCCCGGTGGGCAGGCGAGCTCTTCTCCAGCACGTTCAGACGGGCCTCCAGCTTGGCGATGGCCTGCTGCAGGTCCTGCACCACTGCGGGGTGAGGGGATGCTGGTCAGACCACAGCAGCTGGGCCCCACCCCTCCCCCACCGAGCCCAGGGCCTCACCTCCTCGCAGGCTCTGGTTCTCCACTTCCAGGCTGGCGATCCGGGTGACCAACTCACTGTGGTCTCCGCTGGGCCCACTGGAGGCTCCAGGGCCTGAGCTCTGCAAGGCAGGGGGAGGTGAGGGTGTGGCACCCCACCCGCTCCAAGGCCCCCACAGCCACTGAGCAGCACAGCCCCGAGCTGGGTAGGAGGCCTGAGACACGAGACGCAGTTCCTGTCTTCCCAGCCAGTCACCTGCCAGCGGCAGCCCTGTGGAGCCAGGGTGACTTCTCGGCCAAGCAGGAAGCAGGGGGCCCAGGGCAGAAGCTCAGAGCCATGGCTGCCACTGCCCGGTGTGAGGCAAGGAGCAGGACTGACAGTCCCAGGGGCAGCCTGGCCTGGGGCCTCGGGGGCTGGGCAGCACGGCCTTGAGGTGGAAACGGGAGGGGAGAGCAGCTGAGGGGCCCGAGCAAAGGGCAGCCCCTCAGCAGCCAGCACAGCGCCTGGCCTTCCCTGCCGGGCACACCCGGCCAGGCTCACTGAGTCTGCGCTGGATGGCGCTGGCCCGTCCGACCCACACATGCTGCCCAGGGAGCTCAGCCACAGGGCGCCACAGCGTAAGCCGGAGTCATGCCCTCATGGAATGGCTCTGGGACACGGTGCACCTGGCCCGTTGCCCGGAGTCACTGTCCCTCCTCCAGTGTCCAATCATGATACAGACCTTGGCCTGAGGCCCACCCAAGCAGCCACAGGACAAGCCACTGCTCCGCACCCCTCAACCACGGAGAGGCTAAAGGTCTCCAGGCAGGACAGGTGCCGGGTGCCTGGCTCTGTCACTCACTGCGGGCAGCGCAAGGCTGACACTGTCCCATGACCCACCGAGCAGAGCCGGCTCAGGGTGGCCAGGGCGCCGTGTGGCTGGAGAAGGAGCACTGACCAGCCAGGGGACCAGGTGGGCTCTGCTCACGCCACTCCCCTCCTCTCGGCGCACCTCAGTGCCCTGCTATAGTCAGTCAACGGCACCCATCAACTCTGCAGCTCCCGCTGGACCACCCACACCTGCGTCTCAGACGCCACCACCAGCCGTGGCCCCCACACCATTCCCACTAAGACCTCCGATGGCCTGGATCACACAGGGATGGAAGCCAGAGCTACCGCCCCTGCCCACTCGTCCGGCCCCAGCTCGGAGGCTCCTCTCCCAGGGGTTAGTGCCGGGAGCAAGTGAGCGGGGTCCTGGAACAGGCTGGTGCCTCGAGCCCTGCTGCGCGGCAGGTGAGTGGTGGGAAGACAGCAGGGCGCTGGGACCAGTCCTCTCCATGAAGGCTATGCCCGCCCCACCCCAGCATGAACTCATACCCAAAGTTCTGGAGCAGGGCCTCTACAGGGCGACCCCGTCACACTGAGGTCGTTAGGGTGGTCCTAGCCCACTGGCTGGTGTCCTCATAGGAC